AAATAGACCCACAAATATGTGATCACCTGATTCAGGACAAAGATACCACTGAAATAAACTGAAAACAAAATGTATTTTCAATAAATGCTACTAGACCAATTAGGTTATTCTATTCTTACACAGCCGGTATATCTAATCAACTTCAATAGCTCACATATCTGCTACTGTAGTTTAGTTCATTCTGCTAAGCTAAGCACTACCATATCCCATTGCCTCCTGGGCATCCCTACCATGACTCAAACATGTCCAAACCAGACCTTATCTCCAGTCCTCTTCCTGACTTACTCTTGTGGTGCCTAGCTCTGTGAGTAGTTCAGAGTAGCATATCAATCTAACCATTCTGAGAAAATGTGTATTGGCCCTTTGACAGTTATTTTCTCTCCTTGGACAATTATATTCTATCTGCAAAATAGGTCAGAATTGGTGAATTTTGTCAAATATTTAGTTTAAGCAATAACTTAGTCTGGTCTTTTTTCAGGACCCTGGGCTGGCTCTGGGCTGTCCCAAGGAAATCTTTCTTAGTTTGAAAACCAACTCTCCAGCAGCACTGCCTTGTTTCCTAGATTCAGAGATGCATTTCTTCACTTCCTAAGGATTCTGAAATTAGGATAAAACATACAGGGCTAGCAAAGTAGGTTTACAGTTGTTCGTATAGAAAATAAAACAATAATTAATAAATAGTAATAGAAGAATCAACTCTGTGTTTCACATACTCACAACTGTAAACTCCTTTTGCCCCACCCTATAGGAACCAAAGTTAAAAAAGTATATATAAAAAAAACACTTTGCCTATTTGCAAACAGAGGAATAAGTTGTGATACTGCTTATACCAGGAATAATGAATTTTAAACTTGGTAATTATTTATTCTTTAAATGCACCATAGATAGAGCATGAAAAGTTATCAGCCCTAACCAGTTTGGCTCAGTGGATAGAGCATCGGCCCAAGGACTGAAGGGTCCCAGGTTCGATTCCAGTCAAGGGCAGATACCTTGGTTGCAGGCTCGATCCTCAGCCCCAGTTGGGGCGTGTGCGGGAGGCAGCGGATCGATCAATCGATGTGTCTCTCTCACATCGATGTTTATCTCTCTCTCTGTCTCTCCCCCCACACCTACAACTCTGTTTAAAAAATCAATGGAAAAATATCCTCGGGTGAGGAGTAACACACACAAAAACAAAAAAACAAAAAAAGGAAAGAAAAGTTATCATATACACAAAAGATAGACTATCACTGCTAAGCAATGCAATCACCAAAACAAATGGAACAGAACATGGTATTTCAAAACTAGCAGAGGCAAATGTGGCCAATTCATGGACCAATAGGACCCTCTTTCAGACACTGAACGTGCTCCTCTGTTAAAATTTCTGGCTGGCTCTCAGGAGATGCTCTTTGACTTCTAAGTACACAAAACCAATTAAAACCAGTAAATGTATGTCTTTTAGCCAAATAAGAAATGTACACCAACGTGATATTTTTTTAAAGGCCTCAGAATTGCCCTATGAATCTAAAGGTGCCATAGAAGTAAAGATCATGATACATCTTATGACAAGCAACATGCTACCATGATGCTACTATATATGAGTAGGAAAGGTCAATATTATTCAGAGTATCTAGGTTTGAAGTCAGCTTAGTGTGTGTGAGATGCAGAAGACAATGGTGAAATAAATGGACAAATGTATAATACTGTGAATAAGTACAAATACTTCTGTATACATTTATTCTAGTCTTCCTTCCCCTTCATTCCCATCCTCTAGAAAAGCTGCTAATAGATCAATGCTTGGTCAATAGATCAACAAAGGTTTGCAAAGGTTTTCCATAGGAAGGCCTTGAAAGTCAATGTACCAGGGCCTGAATTCTAAGACACATTTTCACCTCCAAGAGAACTGTCTCAGTTGCTATCCAAACAGAAGCATCCATGGATGTTCCCATCAAGCCAAGGAGATGGAGATGTGGAGCATGCCCGTAGGAGACTGCTTACCGCTTTCTGGCATTTTACCTTTATCTTGGGACTGTCCTCACATCATCGGGCTGACTTTTGGGAAGCATAGCAGACAAGTTTAGGCATAATTTGGACTTGGCAAAATTCCTATGTACCACGTTTCATTCTCTAATAGGTAATATGCCTGTCCTGCTTAACTGATGGGCTCATGGTTAAATCCTAATGAGGGAATATATGAGAAGGTCTTTTCCAAACTCTAACTACTATGTAAATGCCAATTTTTACCAGTGTCATCATAAAAACATAATGATTTATAACACCAGATGTTAACACCAAACTCATCTTAAAGTGTAAACTCCACACCATAGCACAGGGCACATTTACAAAACCAAGTACAAAGGCACCCTGGACTCCTCTGGTTTAGCTGTCACTCTCCTGGGGGGTTAATCCCACTCTGCTCTATGGGTTGCTCAGACCTTTTCAGGACTTAGATTCCATCTCAGAGCTTATTCTCAGGTTTTGAATAAAGTATCACATATTTCCCTGTTCTTACTCGAAGCACCATCTAGTCAAGTAGTCCCTTTTTTAACTTACCTGGTCTAATGATTTCTTATCAGTCTGAGGAATATGTTTCTGTAGTGATCACAGCAATGACCTAGCTTCCAAGAATCTTCCCTGACCCTCCCTGGGTCAGGCCTCCTAGCTGCCCTTTATAGCAGGAGGCCCAACACATGGCTTATTCTGCCTCAGCTGTGTATATGCGGGCATTGAAACACCTGCCTTTCTTTTTTCTTTTGCAAGGAGGCCAACTATTTTGCAACACACACACTTGGTAAAGTAAGTTAATCCATCAAGTACTACAAATTTCACTGGAACACAGATTAGACAAATAAGTTTCTTTACAAGCCTGGAGAATTGTTTTCGGCCAAGACACCCCAGTCATAGGCTTAACTCTGAGGCCCCCGCAAGAACATGAGGGGACAGCAGGAGGCCTGGCCCCTGGCCCACCCACAAGAAAAGAAAATATCCTCCTGGCCAACCGGAACCTTCAAAAGCATGAAATTCTCCCAATTTTCCCAGTATCTTCCCTTTTCCTATACATAAAAACTAAACACACCCAGTCACAAAATATCTCCATCCTAGAAGGCAGAGAAACTGCAACTCCACTTTGTCAGAGTCATCAAAGGTTGGGACAGTTGGGGATTTTGTTTTCCAAACTCACTGCTGGCCCCGAGGAGGTATGACACCACCATCTGAAGCACAAGGCAGCTGCTCATTTTTGGCTGAAGTTCAATATAAACCTTACAAATGGTCTGCTAGCTCTCTTTTTAAAAATAATAATTAAAAAAGAATTTTATAGTCACAAAACCCACAATCTAGTGTTTTCACTATAAAGCTTTTCCTGGAGGCCAGAGAAAGCCATGTATTCTGACAAAGTTCTGAGCCAAAAAGGTACCAGGAGGTTATTTCCATCAGAAAAATATAATGGGACAGATAATGAGGCAGATTGAAAATCAACGGCTCAAGCAGTTCCAAAGACTCACTGAACACCAATTCTCCCTGAAGTATCAAAAGATGAAAATCTAGCAACAAATAGTTTACTTTTCAAAAGAGGCCCTTAGCAGTTAAGTCATCGAGTATGCTTTTATTTAGGAATGAAAATAAGACATCAACAAACTTCCCATTCATTCTGAAATTTTGGTTAGTCATAAAGAGACCACAATGACTATATTTTACTTATTATTTAACCATTCCATCAAGAATTCACATACAGCCATCAGTGTGTATGTTCAACACCATGATGGTCCTCCAAACCTGGCAAGTGTCCTTCCTTTTTCCTTATTTATTTCCTTCCTTAGAGATTTGAATATGCATTAGGGCCAAATGTTGAATGGTGTTCTCAAAACTAAAATAAACCTTTTATGGGGCAAGTTAACATTTGTTTTTATTTTGGTGTGCGTATTTGTGACAGATCCACACACAGATTTATAATTTCAGGATAAATTAAAGTTTTTCCCTAAACCTTTGGACATTCTTAGGAAGTCAATAGAGCTCCAAGAACTGGAGCAAGAATGTGCACTTGGTTTATAAAGCCAAAGCTAGCAAGTCCCTCATACAGCCTGTAAGTGTGGGGTTCCCTACCCATCTGCATTCTCTTCCTTCCACTTTTATCTTCGTATCTGATTGCCAGGCTGTCACACGCTGGTCCCACCTCATGCACACTGAGAAGTCTACAGCATCGCTAATCTACTGTGCATCAGCACTCCACCCTCCCCAAACTACTAAGCTGACCCCTAAATAGGAAACAAAATTCAAGGTCGTTGGCTTGTTTTCTGTGTGCTATAGGTTTGGACTAACTGCTGTAACACTTCACTCTTCAGCCCTTCCTCTAAATATCACCCCATGAAAGTCTTTTTTTTTTTATTGCTAGGAAGGCCCATGAATGTATTTGTAGTTATTTTATAAAATGACTTGGCCTCACTTCAGGAAATCAGAGTAATGCAAACACAGGGGGAAAAAGTCCATTGTTCCCTGTATCCAAATGATAAAAAATACATTGCACACACACACACACACACACACACACACACACACACACACTCATTTACTCAAAGACATATCATGCATATGAATAATATATGTGTATGCACAAATACGTAGCCTTTTTTTCACTTGAATTAGTATCATTTGTAAGCATCCTTACATAATTTTCATGTGTGAATTTATTTTAGCCATCCTCCCCCATCATTCAAAGTAGGGACTAAACAACAGTGGGAAACATTTTATCCCCAATAAGTCATCTGTTTTCCGATCACAAAGGATGCTTAGTAAATACCGTCTAGTGGCTTACTTAAGAAAAGAAAGCCATTTGGAAAGTCTTCAACTTAACAGCAAAAAATCTTCCTGCTGGCTAAACACTACCATTTAGAACACGCCCCTCGTCATGCTCATGGACAAGCCCTGAACTCGGATCACCTACCACAGACATACTCGAAGTTATATGATGACAGGGTGAGAAATGGGGGCCAGCCCCACCCTTGGGCTTCCTTGAGCCTTCATACCTGTGCTGATGCTCCTGTAAGACTTGATAAATGCTGATAAGAAAAGTTTGGTTTTTAAAACTCCCCACAACACAGTCCTTGTAGATTCGGAATTCTGCAGCCGTCACCGCCTCACCCTCAGGAATCTGGGATAAGTTGAACTTGAACTCTTTGTGGTGTCGCTGGCGAGGGGAGAACTCCTTGTCGTACTCCACTATAAGATTAAACAAGAGAGAGTGACAACTATTGTTACTTGACTAGGTGCCACAGGCTCAGCTCAAAAGAAAGTCTCCCATTTTAATTCATAAGTGGATTACAGGTTACCAATGGCTCATAGAGGATTGGGGTGATGGAGAGAACATTGGCTAGGCTGTCAGGCAGACTGGGATTAAAATCCTTCATTTTACCCAAGGATTAAATAAAATGCTTACATTTTCTTTCATTTAAATACTTTAAATACTTAGTCTCACTAAGTTGCATGAAAGCAAGTTATTTAAACTCTTGGCTTCTTCACAGGAAAGTTGTGAGAATTAAGAAAACAATAACGCATCAGGTGATCCTGGCCCTGATCCCCGCTCAGCCAACCCCTCCCACCCCACCTTCCTGCGGCTCTGCCCCTCAGACCATCAGCAGTGGACAGGACAGGGGTAGCCCTGAGCCCGCCTTAGGTATCGATTGTGCTGTGGGGAGGACAGTGAGCAATGCATTTGCCTAGGCCTGCAGCTCCACGTGTCCTCAAGTTGTGCCTGCTGCTCAGTGGAAGTTTTTGTTGAAGGGTTTAGGGTAAAGCTTCATGGAAAATGCTGCTCTGATAAAGTTCACTGCCCTCCCTGCGCAGGTGGACCCTGCGCGCTGTGAACGGCTGGAGTCTCCGTTTGATCTGCACATAGAGCCAAAGTATGAAAACAAAGATGAGGAAGCCAATCACTAATGGGGCAACTCGCTATTTTCCAATGCTGTTTCTTCACATTGGGAAAGGATGGAGTCTAAAACCTGTTTGTGTGGTGTGTTTTTTTAATGAAATCTTTTCCCTGCTTGAAGAGAAGCCAAATTATGAAAAACTGCAACTACTAATTATCATTTTCAGTCAGCTTTCAGATGTCTGAGTAGAGTCTGTGTGAGAGAAATGGTATCAACCTCAGATGCTTAACCCATGATCCTTATAAAGAAAAATGGAGCACCCCCCCCCACCGTGAACCCTCGCTCTCTCCCCAGAGTTCAGAAACCGTCTGCCCTGCTGTTCCTGTGAGTTCTTTTCTGAATGGCAACACAGTAAAATCTCATGAGCAAAGTAATCCTTTATGACAAGGTTTTCCCAAGGGCTTGTGGGTAGAAAAAAAAAATCAAATTATTTGCCACCTCTGACTGCCCACTTTCTCCCACGTGTGTTGTTCTCCATAATCACCAGAGAAAAGCTTTGGAGATTTAACTTCTTTAAAAAAAGCTAATAACTCTTTATAAGAACCTAAGACCTTGATGGCATTTGCAGAAGCTAAGGAAAGGTAAGCCATCTGTAGGTATGAGGTTTTAAATAAAGAATTTTTGAAATTGCCCTGTGACTATCCAACAAATCCTTTAGATTCAAGTTATCTCTCTCTCTCTTTTTTCTTTAATTTTTGGGGTTAATAAAAGGACAAGCTTTGGCTTATGTAAGAGCTTAAATATAAGTAAAAAAAGGTCTAACCAGAAAGTAAACCATAGTTTAGTCCCAACAAGAGAGCAGGTTTTCTAATTAGTGGCTAAGCATGAAAAGCAATATTGTTGGGGAGTTCACCCGAGGCCACCCACACATGACGGTGTATCACTTTCCCCTAAAACTGATCTGCCTTTTAAGTTTGATATGTTATCATCAGTGGTTAAAAAGGGAATCGAATCTGATTTCCCAAAGAGACTTTCTAAAAAATAGTCGCACAGCTTTTCTAAGGGCCTTTTGGGTGCTTAAATTTTAATGTCACTAAATGAAAAAATATTTTTAAGATTCACTTGAAAGAGAATGCTTAAGAATTTCAAAAAGAAGTCTTTCAATTGCTCTTAATATAAACAATTAGAAAGAAAAATATAGATAGTAAAGCAAGATAGAAGATAGTAATAAGATATTTCAGTTAAGGAGGAGAGAAAGGGACAGAAATGTCAATAAATGAGAAATGTGGTAGCTAGTCTTTGGAGAGATGCACCACCTCCCTGTATTCATAGCCTTGGGTGGTCTCCCTGCTCTGGGCTGGCCCTGTGACCATCTTTGGGCCAATAAAATGCAGCAACGGTGGTGCTGAGTGATTTTCTATGCTAGGATGTAAGTTTTAAACTTTCTTCCATTTATGTTTCTTGGAATGCTTGAGTGAGGAGAGATAGCCACAATGTACAAAGTCCAGCTACTCTGGAACTTCCACGCTGTGAGGAAGCCCAAGCTAACCATGTAGAGAAGCTGTGTGGTGCATGGAGAGATAAAAGAAAGGGGAGAGGGGAGGGAGGGAAGAGCCCAGTCAGTCTAGAAAGCCTTAGCTGAGGCACCAGACATGCTGTAAAGGTGCCACCTGAGAGGTCCAATCCAGTGGAACCTTTGGATGATTCATACCCCAGCCACCATCTGACTACAACTGCATGAGAGACCTCTAGAGAGAACCACCCAGTCAAACGTAGTCATTTCACAAGACTGTGATAATAAAGCATTATTGTTTTATGCCACTTTGTCTTGGGTGACTTGTTATACAAGAAGGAAGGGAGGACAGGAAAGAATAAGACAGGAAGATCAAGAGAAAAGGGAAACCTGACCTTGCTAGGAAAGAGAGAAATTGGATATTCTTAAGGATGAGGATTTCAAAATGCTGGGAGTCAACATCTATATATATAAAAGCCTAAGCGACCTGTCAACCAGTAGCTATGATGCACACTGACCACCAGGGGGCAGACGTTCAACACAGGAGCTGCCCCCTGGTAGTCAGTGTGCTCCCACAGCGGGAGCGCTGCTCAGCTGACCGACAGGCACCAGACGCCAGGCTCACAGCTGGCGAGAGCAGGTGCTGCAACGCAAGCCTCTCCCGCCTCCGCAGCAGCACTACCAAGTGGCAGCAAAGGCAGGCACTGCAGGGCCGGGATGAGCGGGAGCTGCGCAGCACCTGCCCAGGCTCGGCTTCCTCCCTAGCTATATGTACTACTACATCCCCTGAGGGGTCCCGGATTGTGAGAGGGCGCAGGCCAGGCTGAGGGACCCCACTGGTGCACAAATTCATGCACCAGGCCTCTAGTGCAGCGGTTCTCAACCTGTGGGTCGCGACCCCTTTGGCGGTCGAATGACCCTTTCACAGGAGTCGCCTAAGACCATCCTGCGTATCAGATATTTACATTACGATTCATAACAGTAGCAACATTAGTTATGAAGTAGCAACGAAAATAATTTTATGGTTGGGTCACAACATGAGGAACTGTATTTAAAGGGCCAGAAGGTTGAGAACCACTGCTCTAGTGTATGAATAAGAAGGAATCCTGGCAAATGCTTACAGACACATGTGAAGGGAGAGATAAAGAATCTAAAAACGAGAAAACATAAGAATAGTAGTTCAAAGCCTTCATTTTATTATAATGTGAATTAGAACTCATTGCTTTATATGTGCATTTTCTCATTTCTCCTCTACCAAGACATTATCTTGAAGCACTCCGAACTTCTGCTTTTTCTTTATCCTTCTCTGCCCCATTAGTCTCTGGTTGCTATCCATCTGCTTTTACTAGTAAGTTCTTTCACCCAAACCCTTCACTCTGCTGTTTTCTGATTCCTCTCCTCTCCTCATGCCTTTTAGCTAGAAGTAGGACCACCTTCCTCACTCTTCCCAAAGTATCTCAGCCACCAGTCACTGGAGTTTGCTTGAAATTCCTGTTTTCTCCCCCAATTTTTTGCCTCCAATTGAATTTACTTAATGCATTTTGTTAATGTCTCATAGGTATACAAAAAACTAAGCACAATTAGGTCACTTACCCACACATGCATTTGAAGACCACAATGGTGAAATAGTAATATTTCTAATGAGCTTAGTATTCCCCCTTCAAGTTGTATGATTCTGAACTCCTTAAATTTTAGAGAGTTCACGAAGTCTGAGAGAGGGCTGAGCTCTGAATTCAGTGCTCACTACCTATTTTGCAGCCTCTAGCATTTGGCTTTTCAACAGTGCTGCCACCTGTGGTAAACAATTAAGTGGTAGCTAAGAGTGTTGATGAAGTGTCAAACTGCCAAGCTGGTTTCTGATTCCAGCTCCCTTTCCTCTTACTTAATGTGATGCTGAGTAAGATATTAGTCAAATTTCCAGTTACCAGTTAAATGGGAATAATAACATTTCTGAAGATTATGTACGGCAATCTATACAAAATAGTCAATGGTAAAGGAAGTGCTCAATAAATGTTACTTATAATTATCATTAGCTGATATTTGAGAATCTGGTTCCTCTGAGCTTAGAGTATATTGTTGCTGACTAATTCAAATTTATTCATGAGTCTGTAGATAGGGCTGATTAACTTCTGCTAAATTAGCTTTTTAAATTAGAGATTCGTTCTGTGAAAAGGGCAGTAAGTGAAATCACCATATTGAGTATCATCATCCCTGGTGTTTGGCTAATGGATACAGTGCTGTGTTCTCCGAGGCAATAACTGCTAGAATTTTTCATTTCAAGGGCTAGTGAAAATATGTTTAATGGTGGTGACCTTACACAAGGTCACCTACTTTCTCTGTTTACTATTTGTAAGTACAGTAAAACAAGATAACAAACTATGCTCTTTGATTTTATGATTTGATTCCTAAAGGTCCTTCTAACACCAATTTTTTTTAAAAAGGACATAATTGAAGAATACATGCAATCCTTGAAATTTTAATTTAGCTTTATAAAACTAACCCTATTCTTTCTTTTTGTCTCACTCTATATCATTTGAAATTTCAGACCAGGTCCAGACCTTTGGCCAACATGTAGGGCTACAGTACTACGGAATAAAAGTTAAGATTTAAAAATGTAAATTATGCAATATACATACAAAAAATATAGGTAATTTATGGAGGTAACAAAGCACAATAATAAAGCACCAAAAGAACCAGCACTCAACTTAAAAACTGCCACCTGACCAATACCATGGTAATCCTCCCTGATGCCACCCCAGCCCCAATGGTACCTCGTATCAGAATAGTGTCTAACATTCCTTTGCCTTTTAAAAACTAACAGTTTTACTATGTATATGTGT